ACTGAGCTGAAATCTGGAACCTAGTTGAAGAGAGGGAGGAATGAAGAACGAAGGGGTCTGTACCAGGTTGGAGAAACCCACAGAAACAGTTGGCCTGAAAAAGGGAAAGCATATCGACCCCAGACGCTCTTTGGGAGGCCTGTACGGGACTGATCCAGCCCCCTGATCGTGGAGGCCAATGGGGAGGCCACTGCACTCCAGGGAGCCTCTGGAAGTGGACTGGCGTTTTTCCCTGGTGTGTGTGTGGGACTTTGAGAGCCCATCCCACGTGAAGGGATGCACTCTGTCTCTGGACACATGGGGAGGGGCCTAGGCCCAGCACAGGAAGATTTGGTGGACTTTGTGGAGCCCCTGTTGGGGGCCCTACCCTGCCTGGGGAGTAGTGGGTGGATGGGGTGGGGGGTAGGTTGGAGGTGGGAGAGGAGGGGTAGGGGTGAGTGGAGGGAGAGGGAGAGGGGACTTACATGTGAAACAAGCCTGTTTCCTAACTTGAATTAATAATAAAAAAGGGAAAAAATAATCAAGATAATTATAATGTCACATATTACTTATAAAACAGACCATTAAAACCTTAACTATAATTAGGGGCTGGAGATAGCTCAGAAATTTTGAGCACTGGTTCTCTCCTGGAGGACCTGGGTTCAATTCCTAGAACCCACATTGTGGCTCACAAATATCTGTAATTCTAGTTCCAGAGCATCCATTGCTATCTTTTGACTTCAGAGAACACCAGGCATGCCTATGGTGCACAGTCCCACATTGAGGCAAAACACCTACAAAGATAAATAAATAAAATAAAAACCTCACATATAATTGTATTTCCTGGTAAATGAATATATCATTTACCATACTGAGTAAAAATTATACAATTATATAAAATGGCTTGTGTATTAAAAATACTGATATACCTCACTTAAGTACTTTCTGCTACTGTATTTTGTTTCATATCAATTGAGCAATTTTTTGATTAGCAAAAAAGTAAATTTGAATAGAATTGAAATGAATCATAAAAAACCATTGAGCATGTATACTTTGCCAGGTGTTATTTAATCCTTACCACTGTTGAAGTAATCCTTACTACAGCCCAGGGAGGTAGCTAATAGTATTACTATCTTAAATTTTTACAAGAGGGAAAACCAAGATGTGGAGACCCTACAATGTTAGGTCAAGGTCACAAGCTCCCAGGAGCTAAAAGTAGGAATAAAAATCAAGAGACTATATTAAGGTCAGGGGTAAAAATCAACTCATCATTGTGTCATGGACACAGCCTGGCTAAAGCTGCTCAGACTCCTCATCCAGAATCAGATCACTCACGAGGAGAAGTGCTGTGCCTACAATACAGGTTCCATCGAGGGAGGGTGCCTGACAGAATTTGTTCTCCTGTGTAAAGCTGATGAGGATCAGGGCAGTCCCAATTGCTGCAACTACTGAGCTGATGATGTTCATGTTGGTGATTCCTTGTCTCTGGAAAATAGATTTAACACATGGTAAAGTAAACAAAAACGAAAGGTAAAGATACCCCGAAAGAAATTCTCAGGACTTTCCTAGTTCTAGAAGCCTCATTAGGTCCCTGTGATTGGAAGGCTTTGTAAGTTCAATTCTGACTGGTCAAAGTCAGAAGGCAAAGCATACTGTAGAATGGGCCAGCAATACCCCATGGTTAACACTCCTGAAAATGTCCATCTCATCTCAGCACAAACTATCTTCCGTACTTCTGAAGGACACGGTGCCTTGGAAAGCATTTCAACTTGGAAATCAGATTTGGTTTTGGGTCCTGCTTTCATTAGAACTTGTACCAATTATTTAATCTGTCCCAGTCTCAATTTCTATCTTTAGAATCTAGAGAATGAGAATGAGGAGAGAAGGATGAGAGGGACAGGGAACTGGGATTGGTATATAAAATAAGATTGTTCCTAATTTAAATAGAAGAAAAAAATAAAAAAAGAATGAGAATGGCTTTACTGTAGTATTCATTTATTTTCTAAAAATTTAGTGTATGCTAAATATGTATCATCACCACATAAGACCCCAGCTATACAAAGACTCATGTGGGAACTGACAGCTCACCATCTGGCTCACTTATATTCCCCAGGAAGATTCAAATGATGGCCAACAAAACCACATGGGAGGCATAAAAAGCTGATTGCTCCCCACAATTTCTTTTAATTTTTAAAATTATTTTATTTATTTTTGAGAATCTCCTATGTGAGTATTGTGTTTACATCACCACCACCACCACCACAACCCAACTCCAACTTCTCCCATGTTCTTCTATCCATTCACTCTTCAAATTCATGGCCTCTTAATATTTAGTGATTATTTTCCACATATATATATACATATAAATTTCTAATACAACCTACAGAGTTAATTTAGCATTGTTCATTTGTATGTATGTTTAGGGTTGAACTCTTTAGATTGGATCATCTACTGGGGACTTATCTCTGGAACAAATTGATTGTCCCTATCTCATCAGTCATTGGTTGTAGTTCTTCAGATACTAGATTGTAGTTCTGGGAGTGGGGCCTTGTGATATTTCTCCTTCATGTTGGCATGTCAGTTCGTGTCATTCTACAGATCTTATTTAGGCAACTTTGTCGAGGTCATGGATGCATCCCTATCATATATAGAATATGCAATCTTGTAATAGATGCCCTGCTCCTCTGATTCTTGCAGTCTTTCTGCCTCATCTTCCATGATGTTCCCTGAGCCTTCAGTGTAGTGATTGTACTGTAGATATGTCAGTTAGTGTTGGGTACCCTCTGCTTAATTGCTTTTATTCATTCCCAGTATATTTGCCAGGAGAGGGGTGTGTGTGTGTGTGTATGTGTGTGTGTGTGTGTGTGTGTGTGTGCGAGAGCGAGAGAGGGAGAGAGAGAGAGAGAGAGAGAGAGAGAGAGAGAGAGAGAAGGGGGTGGGGGTGGGAGAGTTTCTTACAAGAAAACTGTGTTGGGGGCATCATATTATTTCCTTTATGTCCATTCTTGCTTATTTTTTTTTATAAAAAGTGTCATTTCAGAGTGTATCTACTGTACCTCTGCTGGCTGCATTATGTCTGCTAATGTTGGAAATGAAGCCATGCATTTCCACACTCCCAGAGCTGTGTGTAACCTAGTGCAGCAAGACTGGGAAGTGCACTTGCAACTGTTTATCCTAAACTGAGATCTTTATTGAAAGCAAGTGTTTTTGGCAAACCACAAAATAAAGCAAAACAAAACAAAAACAAGGAGCATGCAAATCTGTCAATCTCTCTCCATATTAAGTCCTTTTGTCTTTCCAGTCTCTGTTTTGGCTTCTACAGGGACCATTAACAGACTAAGGTCTCTAGATATGTGATCCCTCATGCAGATCATGCCTTACAAAGATCACAGCCCTAGTCCAGCCTGATCCTTATTAAGGGATTGTGATGTCAGGCAGACACTTGCTCTCTGTGTTTTAGAGATGCATGGGATTAGGAACTAAATGACTTTGAGCCATCCCATGCTTGGTGGAAAAGCTTTTGTGAAAACCAGATCTGCAATCCCACACTCATGTGTCATGCCATGCCTTCTTCCATCCGTAAAGCTCTCCACAAGGCACAGATAACTTTTGAGTATGTCTCAGCTCTGGAAGAAGATACCATAGGGACTGACAGTACTTATCTCCAGAGGAGCAGATGGAGGCATTCATCCCTCTCCCTAGGACCTCACTGGGATTTATAACTATCCCTGACTGAAGGCCATGAAAATAGATGCAGTGACTGAGTGGAAGCCTGTAGCTCTAGGGTTTTCTGCAGTGATTATTAGATGAGGGTAGGAGCATTTAAACATCATCATGCCTTTTGTAAGTAATACCTTAATCCTCAGAGTAACTCTTAGACAATTTCCCATCAAGTTGATAGAGCAACGAGAGGCAATCAGCTCTGACTCAATCCTACAACCATGTGGCATCAGTGCCACTCTTTTTATCTGGTCCTTGGGGAGGCCTCTGAGGAAAGCCTTTGTTGGCATTGGAGTTGGGGTTGGGGATAGAAAGCGAGGGTGACAGGGTCTGTGATGCATGTTGGTTGAGGCAGGGCTTTTCAACTTTGAGACTGTAGACATTTTGGTCAAATGATTTTTTTATTGTAGGAGACCTTCCCATGCTTCCATTATTTTAAAGGGTGTTTAGAGGGGGCTAAAGAGATGGATAAGTAGTTAAGAGCACTGGCTGCTCTTTTAGAGGATCCAGGTTCAGTTTCACATAGTGGCTTTCAAATATCTGTGACTCTAGTTACAGGGAATCTGACACTGTCATCTAGCCTCTGTGGGCACCAGGTAAAACGCTCCTACACATAAAATAAAAAATAAACCTAAAAAGAAAAAGGATGCTTAGAGACAACCCTGGCTCTTACCATCTAGCTGCCAATAGTATACCCTACGGAGTTATGACAATCAAAAAATATCGTTGGACATTGAAAACTATTATTTCTCATGGAGAGAGAAGGAGCAAAAGGCTACTCCCAGTTAAAAATTATTTAATTACAGCAATATAGGATGGTTCCCAATGAGTAACTTTCAGTTTGTTTGCTCAGAGAAGTGGGAGAAAAGGAAAGAACATAAGGCTAAATCACCCACAGGTTGGGTTTGGACCGAAAACTTGTTGCATAAAGATCTTCCCAAGGAACCCTGAAGCTTAAGACCAAAGCTGCTACAAAGCAAATAGATTTGAAATCAGGTAGAAGTCGTAAAAACTACTTACCAGAATTTGTCTTGATTTTTCATTGAATCCTGTGACCAATCCTGTCAGAAAAAACTGTTGAGAAGACAAGAGGCAACGGTTAACAGGTGGCACATCTAATCCGGCTACAACACAGTCGGTCTCCTTTGGGTTTTCAAACTGTTGGTACTACTCCCCCTCCTCCTCCAGCATCTAGTCTTTCTAACCTGAGTGTTAGGGAGGAAGGCTCTTGTTTTAATTCCATCTATAGGGGTTGGCATTGGCACCTGGGGACACTTGGGTCTTAGAATCTAAAGTCCTTATGTTGCAATATAGACGTTGGGAAGTTCCTGCTGGCACCTTCTTTTGTTCCACCTGGCTCATCCTCCAGGCCCTCAAAGCCCTTCTCTCAGTGCCCCACAGTATCACCTTCCTTCTCTGGGCAATTGCAACTCTAATCACTCTAATCAATTTTCCCAGAATGGCTGTCATCCTTGAATTCATTTCCCACTCAAAAACCCACAGTGTACTCTAATGAGAACACGCCTTTCAACAAAAAGAAGGAAAAAAATCAGCAGACGCCATTTGCTTGAATATTGAAGTTACATATGTCATGTGCATTGCTACCCTCTTTATAATAGCTGGAAATGGAATCAGGTCAGATGCCCTTCAGATAACCAGTGGACAGTGACCAGGTGGTTCCATTTGATGCCACAATCAGGCACTTTTCTCACTTGTTTTTTCCTACAAAGCACCCTTAGCTAGTGCCTTCTGTCATAGCCAGGGCATGCATTCTTCCCTTCTCCCTCAGCTAGTGAGAATCCACGTAGGAAGCGTTCCTCTGCCCCTGGGGCCAGAAACCCTCAGACAGTTCCTAGGAGCACTTATAGCAAGAGTAAAAACATCTTTCACATTTCTCAGAAAGGGCTTTGTTCAACAGTATTTACAGACCTGGGACATTACCAAGAAGATGTAGTTGTGTTTTCAATAAATGTCTGTACCATGCAGAGTGGATTTTTTTTTAAAAGCAATAAATCAAACCTTACTACAATTCACGCCTGTGATTCTCACAAATCATACTGGGAGAAATTGATTGGAGAATGAGGCGGTGAAGACTGGGTCCATTTGGTTCTTGACGATACAGTGAGTGTAGTTTAGAAATCAACATCGTGCTATTTCACTAGGAACATGAAATATTTGTTTTTGAAATACAAATGATAGAAATGGCACATTACTGGTTTTTAATAGAGATGGTGGTCTCATTAATTCTTTGTTTCAGTTACTAATTTATTGATTGATCCACGCATTCATTCATGCATCTCATATCTCAAGCATGATTTTAATTTCTGAGTAAAACAGACCCCATTCTTGCCCTCTTGTATGTTATGTGAGATACTCTAGTGAGTTTACCCTTAAGTGTGTACACTAATCATAGGATTAGGAACCAAGGCTGGAATTATTAATGGCTCCATAGTTCCCTGTGAGTGACAGTCATGAGCCCCCTGAGGTAAGAAGGGTGCTGAGCTATGGTGACCCTCAAGTTTTCTTCCTCACTGAGTCCTATTCTGTGAGTTCTATCTGCATGTGTTCCTCTTTTCACACTGTGTCTGCACATGGTCAAGTAGGCTATCTACCTGTTCCATTACCCAGGTAGGTACTGCGGGATGTACTATACCCGTGGGCTTTGGAAAAACACTATGTACCTAGGAGCAATCATCACTATGAAGGTGGTAGCCAGTAGCCAGTGGTGAAATACGGAGTAATTTCTTTTGTAAGGAGTGGTCTGCCTGTTTGGTGTCCCAGAAGGGGCACACTTATAAAATGTATTGGCATGGGGCTGAATCCAATTTACATTAGTCTTCATAGCAATTTCTGACAAGTTCTTAGCAGGTGGTACTTACAGTAAATGCTCCCCAGAATGGATATCCAGTGATGATCACAAGAGGAAATTTTTTGGAGAAAATGATGAAATTAAATGCTAATATAATCCCAAGGCCCACAATGATCAGAGACAGAAGAATCTGGATAGCCTGGAAGGAGAAAATGAACATGAGGTAACAAGAGCCCAGGCCTGTGGGCTGCCCCAGGCACACCTCTGGCTGCAACCACCCCAATATAAACATTTTCCATGTCTCCATCATGCTGAGACCCTCCCAATTATAACTCTTCATTCTCGTCCTTTACTATTTCCCAGAATCACCAATATATTTTGTAGAAGACATATTTGAATTTGTGTGTGACTAAACCTAGACTGCAAACTATTCCCGTACACCTTTCCTCTTCTGTCACACTGACATCTTGCTTATCCTCAAAACTGGCCTCCACATTGTCAGTGCTAAGTGCAGCCATTCCTTGGTTTGCATGGGAAAGTAGGTGGGAGGCTTGGTTCCAGGACTGAAATCTGAGGATGCTTAAGTCTCTTATGTTAAAAATTTCATAATATGTCCTTGTTGTATGAATGTGCATCCTTTGGGGATATGCCTAAGAATGGAATTGCTGGATCTTGAGGTACAATGATTGCCATTTTCTTGAGAAACTGCCATACTGATTTCCAAAGTGGCTGTACAAATTTGCACTCCCACCAGCAATAGAGGAGTGTTCCCCTTTCTCCACATCCTCTCCAGCATACACTGTCTTTGGTGATTTTGATTTTAGCCATTCTGTCAGGTGTAAGATGGTATCTCAGAGTTGTTTTGATTTGCATTTCTCTGAAAGCTAAGGATGTTGAACACTTTCTTATGTGTCTTTCCGCCATTTTAGATTCATCTATTGAGCATTCTCTATTTAGTCTGTACCCCACTTTTTATTTGGAGTTTTGGTAACTAGCTTCTTGAGTTCTTTGTAAAATTTGGAAATCAGCCCTCTGTCAGATGTGGGTTTGATGAATATCTTTTCCCATTCTGTGAGCTGCTATTTTGTCTTGTTGACTGTGTCCTTTGCCTTACAGAAGCTTCTCAGTTTCAGGAGGTGTGATTTATTAAGTGTCGATCTCAGTGCCTGTGCTACTGGTGTTATGCTCAGGAAATGATCTCCTGTACCAATTCGTTTAAGGTTATCTCCACTTTAACCAGGCCCTCTGAATGTGGGTGACAGGAGGTGTGAGCAGTCTATGGGGCCTCTTGTGGTGGAACCAGTATTTACTCCCAACGCACAAAGGGAATTTAGGAGCTCATTCCCTGTAGAGGGATACTCTCTCGGCCTAGATACATGGGGGAGGGCCTAGGCCTGCCCCAAATGATGTGACGGACTTTGATGATCCCCATGGAAGGCCTCACCCTCCTGGGGGAGTGGATGGGGAGGGAGGCAGGGGAGGCATAGGAGGATTGGAGGGAGAGGGAATGGGATTGCTATGCAAAATACGATTGTTTATAATTTAAATTAACAATGTCATAATATTTGTAGATAATCTACACATATCCTCTTTGTACATTTTTTTCCAGACAGGATCTCCTGAATTCCAAACTGTCCCCAGGGTCACTATGGAGCACAGGATGAACTGTCCCCAGCGTCACCATGGAGCACAGGATGATCTGTCCTCAGCATCACTATGGAGCACAGGATGAACTGTCCCCAGCGTCACCATGGAAGCACAGGATGAACTGTCCCCAGCGTCACCATGGAAACACAGGATGACCTGTCCCCAGCGTCACCATGGAAACACAGGATGACTACCTGTCTCCAGTGTCACCATGGAGCCCAGGATGATGAACTGTCCCCAGCGTCACCATGGAACACAGGATGATGACCTGACACTAGCGTCACCATGGAGCACAGGATGAACTGTCCCCAGCGTCACCATGGAGCACAGGATGACCTGTCCCCAGCGTCACCATGGAGCACAGGATGACCTGTCCCCAGCGTCACCATGGAGCACAGGATGACCTGTCCCCAGCGTCACCATGGAGCACAGGATGACCTGTCCCCAGCGTCACCATGGAGCACAGGATGACCTGTCCCCAGCGTCACCATGGAGCACAGGATGATCTTTCCTCAGTGTCACTATGGAGCACAGGATGACAGTAATCACTGGACTCTCCTGCCCCCACCTCCCAAAGCTGGAATGACAGCCTTGTGTTACCACAATGCTCTCCTCCTGTGTACTCAAATTGCTCCTAGGATGGTTGAATGCAATGTACCATACACACACAAGCACCAGAAATGACTGAGCATCATCTGCCTAGAAGTGAACAAAATACTTAACAGGTGTAAAACAGGAAGTAGCTGTTGTACTGTCTGTGGAAAGGCTATAAGAAAAGCAGCTGTACATGTTCAGTACAGGCATAATTAAAAAGCATTTTCATTCCATGTTGTTGGAGCCCGTGGTTATGCATCCTTTAGACCTATATTCCACTGATGGACTTTGACCTCACCTTCACTGGCTTCCATGAGAAGTACTGCCATACCCTGGGGCCACTTCCTCAAGAAGATACTTGGAAAAATTACATAGTTCCCTGCTTCCCCAGTGTTGGAAATCAAAGATCAGAACGGGCTCCCCATGAAACAGCCATAGGACCTCTCTGGAGTTAGGTGAGTTATTGGAGTGTTCACTCCTGAAAGTTACTTAGTCCATCACCTCAGAAAGATTTCTGCATTGACAGCTGAGAGTTAAGTATAAGACAGAGCCAAGGCAAACTGTGCATTGCACTTCTAAAGAGAGCTTTCATTTCTCTATTTTAAGCAAAATCCAGGGAAATGGCACATACTTTTTCTCTGAAGGATCCATTTTTTCACAAGCAATTGACTTAGATGTTCTGCCTTTTATTCTTTTGAATATTTCATTTATGTAAACAATGTATCTATCACATTAACACGTTAACCTTCCCATCCATGCTGACCTTTTCTTCTTTTCAACTAGTCCTGAGTTTTCACGTCTTTTTTGGTGACTTGCTGACCTTAATTAGAGTTGCTTATAAAAGTAGGGATATGGGGTTATTTATTGGAGCATGTGCAAAACTTGTCAGTAGCTACAATTTTAGAGAAAATTACTGATCCCCTTTTTGCCCCCCAGCAAACAAGAGTTGTCAACAGTTCCTCTGTGAAGGGTGGAGACTAGTGAGCTCCCTTGACTGCAGAAGGGTACATTGCAAGATGAAATAAATGCCAGGGAGGGGGACAAACTCCTTCTATGAACACTATTGCACAAAGCAACCTCTGTAGAGAAAAAAATGGAGATGAGGCCCCCTTTTCCCATTCTGGGATGATCCATGATAAGGCAGAACTCACCCCCAAAACTTTTGGTTCGCCCTTCAGTAAATCCAGTAAAGAGTTATGAGGTCTGTAGGGAAAGGCAGTCATGACAGTTTCATCTGAATCTATATTGATGATATGGGCCCTTCTTTTCTCCTCAGATGGTGACTCCATGATTCAATGGCAGAGCTCTGTTAGGAGAAGGAGTGGTAGGATATTGCAGTCACAATCATGATGTATTTCTCCTCCAGGCCCACATGGAGTCCGCCACATTGAGCCCTTAGCAATTACATAGTACTAGAACCACAGAATCCCAGTCATTGAGTCACAGAATCTGAGAATTCTAGAGTGTCCCAGCCTTCTCGTTCTTACAGAGGAAACTTGGAAAACTTGCTATGTTATCAGCTTGCTTAAAAAGCATACAGTAAACACAAAATTATGTAGATGGTGCACACAAAACAAGTGCCTGTATCTGTATTAGTGTATATGTATGTATGTATATGCATACATACATGCACATATATTTCACAATTATGCTCTGGTACTCTACCAAATACTAATTATAATTATACATGGTTTGGAATTTTGCTTTTCAGGCTAGTCTCTTATATTCGTGTATTTGTTGTGATTTCAACTGCTAAATCACCAAGGTAAGCAGTTTAGTAAGGCCAAACACAATATATGCAAGAATCATCTCAAATAGTTCCTAGATTGCAGCAATCACAAATACCTTTGTATGCTGTTGTTTGTATACACTGATTATCTTGAATTTTTCATGAACTTGCTTATGAAGCATAAAGGAGCTAAGCCTTTGGCGAGTCTGCTATGTCTCAGGCACTGTTAGGTGCTTCGTTTCAATGTGCATTGCAGTGGCACATTTGGCAATGAACAGTGATCAAACTGAGAAGCAGAAAGGCCAAACTGCCAAAGAATAAATACCAAGGGATAGGTGAAGGATGCTGTCCTTCTACCTTCAAAGCCTGTGTTTTTACTGTCAACCATACTTCCATCCTTTTGCAAATGGAGTTTCCTTCTTTTAGGAAAAAATATTATTAACAGTATCTCTTAATAGTATAAACATAGTGAACTGTGACTATGTTTTCCAGATTTTTAAAGCATATTAAAAAAAGATACTTAGAGTGTTCAGAGTAGTGATTTAATACACTGTATAATGATTACCCCGATGAAGGCAATTATGGTATCCATTACCTTACATTGCTACTGTTTTTCCTTTTCTTCTTCTTGTGGTGAGAAACTTTAAGATTCACTCTCGGGGATGAAGAGATGGCCCAGTGGTTAAGAGTTTTGAAGAAGCTAAGGAAGTAGTCAGTTGAGTGAAGGGATCCAGAGTTGGAGGGAATCTTGTGTCGTGGAGGTAGCCTTGTGGGTGTGGGTTCACGAGGGTCCATGGAAAGAAGACTCAGACTCAGACACACTTTTAAGAATGAACTTAGCCTTTCACAACTTCAGGGGTCTTCAGCCTCAATGGACTGAGTACTTTCCCTCCACCCAGGGCATTTTTATTTTTCTCAACATTTACACTTTAGCCGGTTGATTACCATATGCTCAGAATACATTGAGTGAGGCTTCCAAAAAGACAATGCCATGTCAGAGTCTTGATTGATCAGGTTTTCCGCCCAGTGGGGGTTAGGGCTAGTTGATAGCACTCTGGCTCCAGGCCAGCAGGGTTCTGCTACAATCTTGGCCAGCTACACATCTGACAGAGGGTTAATACCTGAACATGAAAATTTTAAAAAAACGGATAGTCATGGAAACAAATGATCCTATTTAAAAAATGGGCAAAGGATCTAAACAGAGAGATCTCAGAAGAAATAAAAATGGCTAAGAAATAAAAAAGTGTGCAACCTTGAGATTTCATCTTATTCCAACCAGAATAGCAAAGTTCTACAAAACTGGTAACAAATTCTGGTGAGGTCATGGGGGAAGGGGAGTCTTCAGTCACTGTTGGAAATGTAGACTGGTGAGGTCATGGGGGGAAGGGGAGTCTTCAGTCACTGTTGGAAATGTAGACTGGTGCAGCCATTCTGGAAATCAGTATGAAGAGTCCTCAATAAACTAAAAATGAATCTACCCTATGATCCAGCTAAACCAAATGTCCTTTGACGTGTTCGAAGGAATTGACATTCTTCTTTCTCCACAGACACTCCTCAGCATTGTGCATTGCTGTCCTATTCACAGCATCCAAGAAATAGAAACCACCTAAATGTCCTTGAACAGAAAGATAACGAAAATGTGGTACATATACAAAGTGGAATGCTATTTAGCTTTAAAGAGAAATGAAATAATGAAACTTGCAAGCAAATGGATGGGTCTAGAAAAGATTACAATGAGTAAAGGAACTCAGATCCAGAAAGGCAATAACTTATGTTCTCCCTCACCAGGGATAGTGAGGTTAGGACCTTAGAATAAAATTACTACCTCCACTTTGCTGGGTCAGCATAATTCCTAACCACATTCTAAATCTTGCCACAGATAAGTGTAGCTGCCATTGCTCATCAAAGAATCTTCTCTTTACAGCAGATGGAGAAAACCACACCTGGACACAATGCAGAGATCAATGGATCATGGGAAGCCCAGCTCCAGTGAGCACATCTCTATCACAGCTCCTGCATCTCTGGCTCAGGGACATGTCAGAAGAACATGTAGAAAGATTGTAAGAGCCAGAATACCAGGATGTCTGCTTGAAACAGTCTTTCATATAAATGGCTATATGAACAAGATCTGAACAATGTCAGCGTCAGTAGACGTGCTAATGTGGAAGGGGGAAAAATCTCATGGGGTTCTACCCCTAGACAAAAAACTTCTGGCAATTAATGACTGCTAAGATAGGAAGAGTTAGCCTCTCCTAAGGATGAGAACCCTAACTGGTTGTCCAATATAAAGGGGGTCAGCCCTGAAACCACATACCCACAACTATGTTTTATTATGGCTATATAATAGTAATAATTAATTATAATAATTATATTAATATTTTCTGCATATGTATGTATCTATATGCCAGTGGCAATCAGGAAGGAAAAGGCTATCAATTTTGGAGGGAGAAAATGGAAGGCATTCAAGGGAGGGAACTTGGGAAGGGCTGGATGGAGAAAAGGGAGGAGAGAAGTGATGCTATTCTGTATTTTTTTAAAAACTTTTATTGATTCTTTGTGGATTTCACATTATGCATCCTGATCCCATTCATCTTCCTCTCCCCTTGACCTTGAAATCTCACCCCTAAAACAAAATAAATTTTTAAAATAAAAAGGAAAAACAAAACCAAACAAAGTCACAGTGAGTCATACAGTGTACCCTTCAGTCCACATGTCATTACTCGTAAGTGTTCATTGCAACAAGTCATTGGTCTGACTCTAGGCCTCTGGCTTCTTCTACACTATTGACACTGGGCCCTCACTGGGACTCCTCTTGGATATCCTGTCGTGGGTCATGGAGATCCTGCAACTTTGGATCTTCAGGTCTGGCCCCTTCACATACTCTAGCAGTCCATAGATGAGGTGGGTGTTGGGGTAGGCTAACTCATAGCCCTGGGTCTGGGTGGTAGCTGGATTGGTCAGCCCACCAGCATGCCCTCTTTGTGCCATGACATTATATTTTAATTAAGATGTATAAAATGGTGACGACGACGACGATGATGATGATGATGATGATGATGACAATAATGCTGAAAAGAAAAGAGTATGTGCTGCACTTTCAGAGGACTGGAGTTCAGTTTCTAGCACTGATATGTAGTGGGCTCAAAACTACCTGTAAGAGGCCTCTGACACCTCTGAGGCACATGCAAGTATGTATACACACATGGGTGCAGGTTTGTGTATGCAAGTGAACACGCACGCACACACGCACGCATGCACGCACACACACACACACACACACACACACACACACACACACACACACATACACACACACACAAAGTGAATCCAAGAGAAAGAGATCAACTCTCTTTACACTCTGCTTTCTGAGTTCTCTATAGATTTCACTTGTCTTTTTTACTGTTCTCAGGCATGTAGGGGACTGGTCTATGTACTGCTGCATTTCCATAGTGTGTCGGTATGTTTGGAAACCTTACATATTTATTTCAGTTGCACAGTTCTCTCTGGAAAGCAATATTGGAAGCTCTCTTGGGTGAGCAATGTTGATTTTTCCAATCCAGGATTGAAGTTGCTGTTGCTTTTCTATGTCCAATGGCTTATTCAGTCTAGTGCTTAGATGAGAGAGTATATCATGATTAATTATAGTCTTTGAATTCAAATAGAAATTAAAGCCAATGTGTTGGGGATCTAACTCAGTGGTAGAGTGCTTTCTTAGCATGTGCAAGGTCCTAAATTCAATACCGCATCCCTAATATATGTGAAATCATTAAGTGAGACAGAAATAAGTCATTTTCTTGCAACAGAGTCGCCCTCTGCACCCATGCTGAACTTGAACTCAGGGCAATCCTACTTCAGCCTCTTAAATACTGGGGATACAGGCATGTACCATCATGCCTGGCTATGATTTATTATTACTTTTCATTGCTGGGGATAGAACCCAGATCCGTGCACAGGCTGTCACACTTTTCAAAGGATTGCAAATGTTCTAGTAATGTATGACATCTAATATTTAAGCAACAGAAATGTGTAAATAACACAGAGAAAGATCCTATCGAGATGCAGGACCTCGTCAGCCCCCAGCACTAGAGGAGGGCACACTTTCACATCTAACTTAGACAGATGAAACACTGTCTGTTCACTCTGTTTAGAGAACTGTATAAAGTCTGTGGTTATTGTGGAATGGTGGATCATAAAATCTTGCTGACTTGGATTTAGAGGAAATGGTTTTCATTGGAAATGAAGTGACTCATATTGAAAGCACCACAGGAAAGTTTCTCTTCAGAAGTTTATTCGGATCTACCAAGGCTGAGATTTCAGGAATGTCTAGCTGTGCTCTGCCAGGAACACTGAATTTCTTCCTTCTTCTGTATTTCATATCCATGGCCTCAACAAACTGCTTTTGACAACTTGGGTATGATCTTGTGACTCAGGCATGAAAAATACCACTCTAGAAGGATAACATTTATTAATAGATTTCAACACTTTGAGTTGGAGGGCAGGGTTTAAAATATTTCCCTCAAATACAATAATATATATTATAATATTTTATAGTAATACTTTTGCAACTCTATCATAGTATATAGTTGCAGCAATATTAGTTCAAGCAAATTTCACCCTCCGTTTCCTCATCATATTGCTTCCTTGTAGCCTTGAAGTTGAATCATAACTTGTTCAAATTATAATGCTTTCTTTTTTGTAGCATTTAGAAGAAATAAAAAGTTTGAAATTATAAGAGACTAAGAGGAAGCAAGGGGAAGAGCAGGAAAACATTAAAAAAATAATAAAGTCTTGGTAAAATCATGTTAGCAAGCACTTGGCCATGGAGACAGATGTCAGTGTGCATAAGTACAAGGCAGTATAAACTCTGTTTCTTCCTGGTGTAATTTTATTTAAGTTTTGGGTCACTCATGAAGTAATGTCTAGAACCAGCTAGTTTCTTGGGGGAGGGTTTATCTTTCAATGTTGCTGCCCTATAGTCACTATCTGATCCCAGGTTTCTATCCAGTGAACTCTTATTTTCGTTATTAAAGTCACTTTCCATCTGATCCTTTGGGCCTGTATCATTGCAACTCAGAGTTGGTAGACTGCAGGTATCACAGAAATAATCAGAGAACTTACCCCAGGCTTGTTGGAGTAAACTTGCTTCCACCAAAAGACAGAACTGTATGCAGCTAGCAAAAGCTCCAGCACAGTGAAGACGAGCATCACCGCCAGCCCACTCTGCAAAGCAGCACAGGCCTAGGTGGGACCCCATACAAAGCTTTTGGGCCCTACTGAGAGGAGATAGGGGCAGGGATGGGGCTGGGGTGGGGCCGGGGTGGGGTGTGGTGGGGTGGGGTGGTGCTGGCATTGAAGCCTTCAACTATGGAGACCAGAAGGAGCAGAGACAATGGTTCCATCCTCTCTCTGTTTTCTCTTTCGGAGTTCTTAATGACCACACAGAGATGAGAAGTAAGAGTGACTGGCCATCTGTCTCTACTTGCTTTCACCATTTCCTTTGTCCTTGGTGCTTTTCATTCATCCCATTTTCAGGTGTAGATTAGAATTCACTTACCTATAGGGTCTTCTCTGGGTTCCTTCAGTGGGCAATTTCATGTCTTCGATTTTGAAAAATTCTCAGATAATTATTTTTTCAGAGTCTCTCTTTCCTCCAAACTTTTCTATTAGAACTCATGTTCATGTTCAATCTTTCCTTCTAACTTCAGCATCTGTGTCATTCATGTGTTTTTTCAAGTTTAATATGATTTAATGAGATATTTCCTCAGATGCATTAAATCTGCTTTTTACTGTTCTCAGTTCTTAATTTCTAAGTTTTTTTATTTTTATTTTTATTGCTAGTCATGGTTCCTCTTTAACAAGTCCCCCTGACTTTTTTTTTTTTTTTTTTTTTTTTTTTTTTTTTTTTATCATACTGTCCTGTTTTCGGGTTTTGGTTTTGTCCTAATCAGGGTTTCTCTTACTGTTGTAAAACATCATGACCCAAAGCACCTTGGGTTAATTTCAGCTTACACTTCCAGGTGAGAGACCATTACTGAGAGAAATCAAAGTAGGAACTTAGGGAAGGAGCCTGGAGGCAGGAACTGAAGCAGAGGCCATGGAGGAAATCGCTTACCAGCTTGCTCAGCCTGCTTTCTTACAGCATTAAACAGGATTGAGTGTTTTTCTCATATGTTTATCATTACATAGTTTAAGTGCATATGCCACAGTGATGGTATTAGTGTGTGTCTTCAATATGTGAGAATCTTATAAGTGGAATTTATTGATGTGTCCCTAGACAGCTTCTTTAAGTCCGATTTTGTAAGGACCTTAGGAGTATCAGGGATAAAGAGGCAGTTTTAAATCCCCTTTATCAGAAGCCGTCCTAGTGTCCATGGAACTGTGAGTTTAGATGTGCCATCTGTACAGGGTTGAGTGAGCTGAGGGCAGGGATGTGTGAGCCTTCTGGGGGTACTGAGTACCATTTCCTGTCAGGCTGTCTAAAGTCAAATGACTTTTCAATCTTTATTTCTAATACATGTGCAGGGCTCTTGGTGTGTGCAGAGGAGCCTAACAACCCTAAACCCTTACCCTGGGCATTAACAGTTTTGGATCCTTGTCTCCAGCACCTGTGTCTGTTCAGACTCGCCCTGTTTTCTGCTTTGATGATCCTTATTAGTTTCTGCATACGTCATCTTTATTCTTCCTCCCTCCAGCTCCTTTTTATTTTCTTTCAGTCTTAAGTACACACACACACACACACACACACACACATACACACACACACACACACGGCATTACTTTTTTTGTTCAGGTTAATGCTGTGTTTATTAAATATTAGCATCCCTCTGAGGTTGGCTTACTCTGCCATGTTGCAATTTTTCTAATATTGAGGAGAGGAAGTTCTTTTTGGCTCTGCCTGTATGAGAGTATCAGACAATTTGATGTACTGAAATTAATCCCAATTAAAACAATGCCCCAGTATCCCAATGGGAGAATGCTTCTCTCACATGGCTTTACCCTGTCTGTCTTGCCGAGATCTCCTGGACTTTCTCAGGCTCACGTCTATCAAGATAAGTCTCTGTTCTTCACTTCCTAAACACTTCTGATCTACTCACATGGTCAGACTCAAAAAGGGATGTGAGTCCAAAAACCTTCACTCATTCTCCAAGACTCCTAAGTCAGACAGACACCAGGGAATGAAAGATACCAGCTTGGTCATTCACTGGTCCCATTAGGAGAAGTCATGAAGGAACAAGGAACATTGTTATGGTGTAGACACTATAACCGTACATTTAAAATGGACTAAGCCATTTTATTGTTACTATCAATAGGTGGTGGCTGTTAAAATTTGGGAGAAAGGTGCCAAGGAAATTCTGCCCAGGAACACTGATGTTTTCACAGGAGTCATATCTCCTAGTTAGCTGCCTCCTACCCTCTTTCCCTTTTTGCCAGCCCTGAGCAGATGTGTACATGAGGGAATTAAGCACTTGTGTCTGCTCCAAGTCTCGGAGTACATGTGAACAAAAGGCAAGCATCACTAATGGGTGAATCATTCTAACTCCATACAACAACCCTAGAGAGCTTCCCAAGTTCAAGTTCAACACAAATAACAAAAAATAGCATTGCCGCCGGGCGTTAGTGGCGCACGCCTTTAATCCCAGCACTGGGGGTGGGGCAGAGGCAGGCAGATCTCTGTGAGTTTGAGGCCAGCCTGGGCTCCAGAGTGACTGCCAGGATAGGCTCCCAAGCTACACCGAGGAACTCTGTCTCAAAAAAACCAAAACACAAAAAAAAAAAAAAAAAAAAAATAGCATTGCCTATTGTGACTTAAAATTCTCCACTGTATTTTCTTTTCTTCATCTCCTTACCCTCTCCTGTTTCTGCTGTGTTTCCTGCATCCCCAACACACAATTTGCTAACTTTCTGCCACATGTGTTTGGTTTTTTTCCTGTCTGCCCCAGACAGTCAGACCAGCAAAACCAAAGATTGCTGAAAAAGCAGAAATTGCCCACAGGGGAGAAACTGGGGTTTTACATGACAAGATATTTAGTTTGGAATTACTTACCATGGCACTGACATAAGCAAGGAGACAGCTCTTGTCTTCATTCATCCAATGGTGGGATTCCGAATAAGGCAATAAAGACAGAAATTCCTTTTCTGAATTACAGTGCAGAGAGGCAGTCCCCATGTCTATAAGGCTATGGGTGAGGAGGAGGAAGCCAATTGTAGCAACTGCAGAGCTTGCTGTATTGGAGGCCAAGTTGCTCAGTGCCTAGAAGAGAGGTTCTGTGTGGGGTTCTCATCTCAGACTTGGTGCAGGTTGCTCTGTCCCCTTTGCCTATTATACTGCAATGGTACTTTCCCAGGGTAGTTTATAATATAGTCTGTGGCCTCTTATCGGGCAGACCATGATAATTTGTCTTTGTATTGCTCAGCACTCTGCAGTTTGTCATATGAGACAGTCAGAAAATGGGTCTTGAATGGGAGAGTGTCAACAGCTCCCCACAGTCTGGCTTCCTGACTCTTCATGACACTGAACACCAAGGTGGGGTGCCTCAGCCTGCTGCCAGTATCTCCACTGACTTCCCCAGTGCTCTTAGAACTGTCCTTTGAAGACCTCTTACACTATGGCCTTTGGCATCCTCTGGAGAACCCAGACTATAGTTTACCTCATGTAAAGAAGCAGCTTTAGAGAATAATGAAAGTTAACTGAAGAGGTTTGATAACCTGGAACAGTGGTTCTCAACCTTCCTAATGCTGAGATCCTTTAACAGAATCCCTGCAAGGAGATTGGGCCTAAGGGAAGACAAGGTATTTTCATGGGACAAGCAGATGACAATGTGCACCTTCTTTTTCTTTTTTTTTTTCAACTTTTAAAAAAAAAATTTGAATTAGAAACAGGATTGTTTTACATGACAATCCCAGTTACCTTCTCCCTCCGTCCCCCGCCCCTCCCCCACAACTAAAACCCTATCTATCACATATTCTTTCTGCTCTCCCTGGATGGTGAGGCCTTCCATAGGGTGTCATCAGAGTCTATTGTATCCTTTGGGATAGGCCCACCCCCCTGTGTGTCTTGGCTCAGGGAGTATTCCTCTATATGGAATGGACCTTCCAAGAAAGGGCAAGAAGTATTGGTGTGTGGGCTTAGATCCTGTGGTTCTAGCTATGCCCACCTTTCAATAACACAATGAGTGGGCAGTAGCATTAAAAACACAGTAGGAGGAAACAGTAACACTGTTGCCGCCCTGCCAGGGCCTGGTGGCTCACGTCTTTAATCCCAGCACTCATAAGGCAGAGGCAAGTGGATCTCTGTGAGTTCAAGGCCAGCCTGGTCTAGAGAGCAAGTTCCAGGACAACCTCCAAAGTAATACAGAGAAACCCTGTCTGGAAAAACCAAGAAAACAAAAACAAAAATAACAATAAAACATTGTTGCCCCTGAGGGTAGCAGGCCCCCCTGACTACCACATACCCCCTGACTCCAGAAGCCATAGGGTCTGGCTAGCTATGGCTGAGAACACAAAGGTAGTGTAGGAGCTGGCACATGTCCCTGATGACTGAAACTGCGGTATGAACCCAGGAGTTGTGCAGTGGTTGAAGAGTTCCCTGCATTGGATGGGGTCATGATCCTGGGCTTGTAATCAGGAAATGTAGACTCCCATCTCAGCTGTTACTAATGTGTGTGTGTGTGTGTGTGTGTGTGAGAGAGAGAGAGAGAGAGAGAGAGAGAGAGAGAGAGAGAGGGGGGGGAGATAGAGACAGGCAGACAGACAGACAGACAGACAGACAGACAGACAGACAGAGACCAGGCAAGTGCCTTTCTACTCTGGGTTTCAGTTTTTCTCCCATCATACCTGGAAAATGAACACATTCACTTCAGAAGTGACATCCCAAGTGTGTCAGGAGGTCTGTTGAAGAACATATGCTCCCTAACCTTAGTTTTGTTTCCCTAAACTGTGCAGTGGAGGGACAGAACTAGAAGAATTAACTATGAGGTTCTAGTTATTAAAACAGCTGGAGATTGGTCTTCATACTTACAAAAGGTTTGACTGAGATTTTCCCAGAGATTATCGAGAGAGATCCAGTAACGGCAAACTGTTCAGGAAAGAGAGAGAAAAGAAAGAATTGGCCTAAGCTGCTTTCAAATCACTCACAGTAAGCAATGGGAAACTTCTAGGGAGACAGCCCTACAGGAATGGCATGTCCATATTGCTAGGGAGGCTTCATATCTACTTGGGATGGTTACTCTGACTTTAGAGAATAGACACCTGCTCAGGGATGTCGGGTTTATATTATTGGAAAGCAGTAACTGCAGACAAAATTCAACAAATTCCTGACAGATGTTACTAATATTGAAAGGGGAGGTCGAGGAAGATCAATGACTTGAGACTTGAGACAATATGGAGACAAGGAAACCAAGAGAAGCACCTAGGAAGGAGCTTCTCATGTGACAAGAGACAGAAAAATATGGAGTTGAAGCTATTGGTGTAGGTGGAATATGTATTACCCAAAGTTTATGAAATCAGGAGGTCAAGTTCTGACATGAAACTTTGATTATAGCCACCAAGAAGGCAGTATTTGATCACAGTGGTACTAGGGGCCCAGCAAGTAGAGGGATGATGGTCTGGGAAGCTGAAACATTGATTATGCCTGTGGAGTGAGTATTGAGTTGTCGCAGATAATGAGAACCAAAAATGAACTAGTAGGAGCTTCACTAATGAGTTGTGGAGGCTGCCATCACTGGTCAGACAGTGAACTCCAGGGCAAATTGTGCTTTGGGGACAAGTGCAGACCTTTTTGCACAATGTGTAATTGTGTCCAAGCAGGGACCATGGTCACTTTTGTAGATAAAACTTTACTTACACACAGGAATCCAACAAATGGGTACCCAGTCATCAAAGTGGTGAAGGCTGCTGGGTTGAAATAGGAAGAGTAGGAAGCTGACACCAAAATGCCCCCCAAGCTTGCAATCGTCAGGGCACATAGTATCTGGATGGTCTGCAACAGACAAGACAGGGATTTCTAGAATATGCTTTAAGTAGATGCAAAGGATTATTTGAATACACTCTGACTTATAAGGAGTGTAAAATAGTTAATGATTTCCTGTATCAAAAGGTGGGAAAATCCCACAAGGAAAAGTAAGCTGTTCTAAGAGAAAAATCCAAAATTTACCTCTTTTATTTTTTTTGAAAGGCTCTTTAAACTCAGGAAGTGATGATGTGAATGTTGTAATTCTGAAAAATCTACTTCACAAAACATTTCCTTTTTGGAAGAGTCACTGGGAAAAGTTGTCTAGACTAGAGCATAGTTAGGTGAATAAGGAGAAGGGACTTCCCACAGGAGTGTAGATGCGGGCCTCAGCTTTAACCGACAGTCATTGAGCATCTTATTCCTAGTCTTGCCACTCATCCATTTTTATCTGTCACTTGAATTTAAGAATCACCGTGATTGTCATGCACCAGGTGTCAGACTAGTTTACATGTCTAAGGTGTCTGCATTGTCAGTAGTATTTGTCACATCTGTGTTACAGATGAGGAGCATGAGGGAGTTGAGTTGCACAAGGACTTATTATTAAAAAAAAAACAGCATCCTAATGATTAATTAGGGGAATTTAAATAAAAACTGATTTCAGACTCCTTCTCATCCCAGTCAAACTGGGTATCATCAAGAAAACAAATGACCACACATCTGATGAGGAGGTGGGGAAAGAGGAACTGTTAAATGCTGCTGTTAGGAATGTAAACCAGTGTGGCCACTGTGGAAATCAACATGGTGGTTCCTCAAACAACTACAACTAAATCAGAGCCAGCATAGGATCCAGATGATGACTCCTGGGTATATCCCCAAGGAACTCAAAGTCAGCATACCGCCGAGAGACCTGCGCATCCAAGCTCATTGCTGCACAAAAATAGTCAAGGCATGAGACCATTTAGATGTCCATCAGCAGATAGATGGAAAAGCAAAATGTGGTCTTTACATACAATGTAATTTTGCTCAACCGAGAAGAAGAATAAAATAATGTCATTTATTGTGGAATGGGTGGAACAAAGGACAACATACTAAATAAATATGACAAGCTCAGAAAGACAAATATTATGTTTTCTCTACTACAAAACACACACACACACACATACACACACATGTGTGCCCACACATGTGGTAAAAAAGCAGTGGTAAAATATTTGGGAGAGAAAGAAAACCACCAAGACGGTAGGAAGGATCAGGAATATAATCATCAAGAAAATATGAATATATATATATGTATACATAATTCTCTATATCTATCTACCTATCTATCTATCTATCTATCTATCTATCTATCTATCTATCTTCTATCTGCTGGAAGCAGTGGTAGTGATGTAAGGGACAAGGTCTTGGTGCACAGTTAGTGAAACGGTCACTGAGTAAGATGACATGAGTTTCTAAAGTGGGAATTTCCAGGGCTGAGAAGACAGCTAAAAGAACAATGCTAACTTCCTTACAGTGACCTGTGGTGAGAATTGCTGATGAAGCACCCTCTGGAAATAATGTGCTGCTGGCTCAACAAAGAAGAGGCATTTGAAAAAAAAAAAAAAAGAGGGGTAAAGAATCTAATGATTAAGATTTAAGATGATGTAAATGTTAGTATTCAGGTATTTGTACTGGCTTGCCCTTGGGGTTCTGACAGGATACATCCTCAACTGCAGCCACTAAGAGCACCAGCTTCGCACCTGTGCACATTCACTCCGTTCCCTTTTTAAAAGGGAACCCCCCTCTCTGCTTTTCTGCCTATCTCTCTGTCTCTACCCCCTGCCTCTCTTTTCTCTTTTGCTGCTCCTGTCCCAGAGGCTGGTCTCCATCCTCCCCTCCCTCCTTTTCCCATCCACCCCCCCCAAAAAAAACCCTCCACATGAGCTCTGTCACATGGCGTCTTTCTGCCTCACACCGATTTTTAAATTACAACAGTAAGGGGTTATGCTGGTATAGCTAAGTGGCTATAGTTGATTACTTTTTTTTTTTTTAAGACCCATAACCTTACTAGCCTCAGTGGATGGTTAGGTTTCCACACCATTTCCCTCAAGCTGAGTTGGCTGTAGGTCCAATTAGACAGCTGTTGGGTGCCACTGACATGGGAGTGCCACTTATTTCACCTCTATTCACCTCTTGCTATTCTGGATAGTTGTGGATCATAAGTAATGCAGTTGGGTAGGACTGCTTATTTCCTTTCCTTGGGAGAGTATTTTCTGGAACCATGGGAACTAACCCAAAGGAAAGAAGCTTTCAGACCCATCTTGAATCACCTGAGTCCTAAGTCTTCAGCAGTAAGGACCCTCCCCAGAACCTGAGAAGCAACCAAGGGGCTACATCCATTATCTATATTGTTTTGGGAGTCACTTAGTCTACCTTGTCCAACCATTTCAGTAGAGGTTTTAATTCCATTTCAATTAAACTTAATTTCTAAAAGGGTATGATGGAGTTACTAGAGCCTGAATCCCAGAAGACACATTTGGTAAGGTGTCTGAAGATAGGTCTTAACAGCAACTATTCAGAACCTCATGATAAACAGGTTCCTGCTTATGAGGGATAATGATGTTGATGGATACTGGGATGTCTCACAGCAGCCCACGTGGACACAGAGAAACCTGTGGGTGGAAGCAATCCAGATGACATCATCTGAAAATGTTTGGACAAAAAACTTCAGGTAATAAGACTGAACTTAATCAGACCAAATAAAACCATATGGCTAAGTCATAAGTCTACACTAAAGACAAATGAGAAGAAATTAATATCTTAACTATGCAGTGTTCTGGTGAAAAAAGCACAAATGGTTTTAATTATTTAATTAAAAGAAAGCCTTAGGAGAATGTAGTTCCAAACAGCTCCACTTCACATTCTGGTTAGATTGCGGAATCAGCCAGAAACAAGTCAAGGATGCACCCAGACCCACTATTGATGTGGGATGTCCTTCTGTATGCTGAAGTGTTGCTTTTATTGGTTGATGAATAAAGCTGATTTGACCAATGGTCAGACAGAATATAGCTAGGCAGGAAATCCAAACAGAGTTGTGGAGAGGAAGAAGGGGAAGTTGGGAGATGCCATGTAGCTGCCAAATTAGTAAGATGCCAGAACATTACCGTATGCCATGGCCATGTGGTGGTACACAGATTATTAAAAATGGATTAATTTAGAAGAGAGAGATAGCCAGTAATAAGCCTGATCCATCAGCCAAACAATTATACTTAATATTAGCCACTGAATAATTATATCATAAGCAGCTGTGGGGACCCATGAGCAGGAGAGAAACCAGTCCAGGAGGATCATCACAACAGAGAAAAACATTCAACTGCTCACTATAGCTCCGTAGTGTGGACATAATTATAATATCTTTGTGTGTTCTCCTAATGAGATGGACTTACCCCAAGAACTGTGGCTTCCTTAGGCACACCAACCAGCAGGTCATCTCGTTTTTGGTAGTTGTGTCCAGCTTTCTCTCTTTCATGAGTAACAATGTCCATTGGAAAGCAGGTCCCTAAATCCTCTTGATGTCAAGTATGATACTGATGATGCTAGAAGAGGCACTGAACTCATTAGTTCCTAGGGCTTGACTGACAGACACTCACAGGTACCAGAGTCTGCAAGGAGTGAAGAAGGCTGGCTTCTCTTTAGATGAGAATTTGGTACATTCAGGTGTGACGACCATAGACTGGCTTGTGTTCTACAAACACAACTGGATCTGAGTTTCAGGGGTAGCATGGGAGAGCTAGCTTGCTTGCTGCTGCACTTCACCCATGATGAGAAAGAAACATGGTATTGGGGAAATTTGCAAACGTTTCAAGGAACCCCACATTTTGGAGGTTAGTAATTCAAACAGAATTTGCTCTGCAGCCCTGAGTGTATTCACCTCACTGCCTGTCCTGCAAAGCCTTTATTTTAGCCCCTTTCTCTATAGTTCAATACTCTATCACATCTCCCAGAACCTCACACTGAAGCTGCAGTTATGCTCTCTAGTCTTAAACTATTCATTTTCTCTCCGTTAAATTATTGGGTGAGTCTATAAAAAGAACATGTCTAATCCAGAATGTGCACCACGTTTTTTTTTTTTTAAAAAAAAAAAACTCATGTTGAATTCCAGGCACTAGAATACCTAAGGTTTTAATCCTTCTAAGGGTCTTATACCCTAGATGTTAAGTATATTTCATATATTAGAAACTCCGGAAATAATAAGCTTATTTCATTAACTGAAAGTCACAAAGCGCACTTATCTGATGCATTACATGTGTTTAATGCACTGTAGCAAATGTAAATATTGTTAGTCTGTTTGCCTAACTTGCATGTACCTGGGCTGTGTCTACTGGGCTCAGGACCTTGCAATATTTTCTTCTATGCAACATTAATTCCTTTCACCTTGCCTCTTCTTCCTTCCCAATATTAACAGCTCCTGGAGAAATTTCTCCACTCCTGGAGAAAACAGTGTTCCACCGAGTCAAAGGTACCAAAATGAACCCCAGAATCTTGTTGTTAGTGGGGGAGGTGGGGATGGCACCACAATGGAAGAGGAATGCTGGTTGCATCTGGAGCATTGGCTGTCACTGGTGAGTGAAAAGTCTGCCCCTACGAATGGCTGTGATGTTGGGGAAGTGTGTTAAAGGTGTCTCTTTCCAGAGCTGCTCCCGTATTGGGAAACCTGGATTTTTGACTTGATTTTTGTTGTTAAATGCATCAACACAATTCCTTTCAACAAATCTTACTGACCAATCTCTCCGGTTATGATTTTTAACTCCTGGGACTCACATCCAAGAACTTCTAACTTACACATTATTCTAAGCCCTATGTTAGGAACTGGAAGCCTGGTTGATTCTCTCTAGCTTGTCAACACTATGTGCATTTACTTTCTGCTGTTATTTTAAAATTGACCAATTTTTTTAAAGACCACAAATCAACAATTTCAACTAAAACTAAATAAAGTTTGCGTGAATCTAAATGTTCTAGACTCCTCAACATTTAGTATGAAATCATCAGTTTCACAGTTTATGTTCTTTTTTTTTTCCTCTCATAGCTTCTCTCTCCTCTTGTGTATGACTTTACCCAAATTACAACATCATACATTTAGAACTTCTTTTCACTGATTTGTCAGTGGACATCTTTAACTAATTAGTATAAAAGCCTTAAGTATAAGCCACAACATATATGAACCTCAAAAACAAAATAAGCGAAGTCAGTCAGTCAAAGAAAGTCAGATGCTGTGCTGTTCTACTTATGAGCTACCCCAACTACTCTGCTTAACTTTGTAGAAAGTAGAACAGTAGCTGCGGAGGACTGGGGAAGGGCTGAGGAGCAGCTGTTTAGTGGACATGGTCCACTTAGTAAAGATGAGCAAGTTCTGTAGCTGCAAGGTGGTGAGGGCGTCACAATGTGAATGAACTTGACGCCACTGGACTACACGTTTCCTGTGGTTAGAATGCCACAAGTATGTAAGTAGAGTTTAACTCTAATTAAAAATAGAAATGAATGCATATTTCTGGATTCATTAAATATGACACATGATCATGATCATTTTTTTCTGTTATTCTTTTACTGCTATGAACAATGCTGTAGGAAACATCTATGCACTTTAAAGCATTGTAGAATTTGTGTATTTTATCTATTAAATTATATCCTTATGACAACATGTAGGTTTTTTTTTTTAATTTCAGCTCTTGTGCTTATTTTGGATATGTATAGTTATTTTAGGAGCAACTCCACATAATGAAGTTCTTTTTTTTTTAAAGTTTTATTTGTCTGCCAACTGACACCATTGCCTCCAAATCCAACAATGGAGAGGGTGCTTTATCCCTTAGCATTCATTGTAACAAGGTGAAGTGGGAGTGGCCCGCAGCTTTTGAAACAGGATCAAAAACTGCTACTATTCAGGCAAACAGCTCTGCAGAATACTTTTCTGTGTTATAATATTAGATTATAATTATAGATTCCAAATTTAACATTTGCTGGCACCCCAGTCTTCATCAAGTACACATTTTGTAAGACAGACTGGGGAACAGTGGGGAGATACGGGGAACTATAGAAGAGCATCACTTTAAGTATCAGGTGAAATCTAAGGATAATTTGCTTTTTAGCAAGTAAGTAAACAGAGGCCCAAGTGGGCATCTGACTCACCAGTTCGTGCAGGTGGTTAACAGAAAAGACCGATATGAATCTAGTTCCCTGGTAGTCAATCCAAAGCACAATCTCCCCCAGAGGTTAGATTCCAAACTAAGATACCGGGTGGTCAACAAAAAAGACAGATGAGAATCTAGTTTCCTGTCTGCCCATCCGAAGCAAATCTCCCCTAGGGGTTCTAACCCATTAAAGTACCTACTTGTTCTCACAGCCCTGTCCTGTGTGCTCCTGTGCCGGTTCACTCAGGTCCCAAGAGCTCTCAGGCTCAACCTCCGACCAGCTGTTCTCTCCAGAAGTTTCACTGTCTGCTTTCGACACTCAGGCAGTCTGTGTGTTTTCCCCGGAAGGTATTCGTGATTACTCAGGATGTGAATTTGCGGTAATTACAAGCAGCTAGCAGACGAAAAACTGCTCTGCTTCCCCTTTCTGAATTTTGAGGTTTGGGAAAATAGCACAAAATTAAAGCATCTCACGAAAGAAAGAGTTGTGGGCCCGTTGGAAATAATTCCCAGCACTCTTATGAGGAGTGAAGCAAGCACATTGGTTGTGTTAAATCTGTCTTCTTATCTGCTAAATGAGGCATGGATTTTAGTAATTTAATCATCTGGCTGTTGCAGAATTAATGAGAAATGAAGTAAAGAGTTTATAAAAGAGAATTATTGCTAATAACAATGATATATTTAGATTTGAGTGAATTTCAAATTTTTCTTTGTGTAATCTTTCTCGACATTGAAGAAAGAAATTGAAGAAGATACCAGAAGATGGAAAGATCTTCCATGCTCACGGATCAGTAGGATTAATATGTGAAAATGGCCATCCTACTAAAGGTAATCTACAGATTCAATGCAATCTCCATCAAAATTACAATTTTTCAGCTTCATATAGAAATACAAAACAACTCAGTATAGCTAATACAATGCTGAATTAAAAAAAAAAACTCCTGGAGGCATCACCATTCCATATTTCAATTTGTATTACAGAGCAATACTAATAAAAACAGCATGGCACTGACATGAAAACATACATCTCAATATATAGAATTGAAGACCCAGACATAACTCCACACAAGTATGGACACATGATTTTTGACAAAGCAAAAGAGAAAAAAAATACATAATAGAAAAAATACAGCATCTTCAACAAATGATGCCGGTCATACTGGTGGCTTCATGTAGAAGAATGGAAATAGTTTCATAGATCTAGTATCCTGCACAAAAGAACTCCAAATAGATCAAGGATCTCCAGTCAATTGATTACAGCATCCTTAGATCTTTTTAAAGAGTCCAGTGTTCCAGAAGGGTAAGTGACTCACGGGGCAAGGAATGTTTCAATGATACAGGGGTTTCCCAGTTCCCTCCTCAAGTTGACTTCAAGATTTGGAACATCTCAGGTCTTCCTTGGGAGTTTACCAGCAGTCCTCTTTCAGGTTCTCTGTAAGATGAAAGGGTCAGTGGAAACTCCCTTGATGCTCCTTCTGGGGATGCCTCTCCATCTTCTGGCTTTAAGCAAACATTTTTGCAGGTAAAATGCTTCATAGAGCCTTTGGAAATGATGGTAATGGCCAGCTAGTTGGAAACTACTCTTATGAATGAAATCTCACCCTCCATGGGGAGCAGAAATGGTATGGGATACATAGGGTGTTAGTTGGCAGGACAGGTGAGGAAGGGAGGGAGAAGGACCTGGGATTGACATGTAAAATAATCTTCTTTCTAATTAAAATTAGAATGAAATCTCAAAAGCTGCTCACAAAAATAGATATTAGTTTCTTCCAATGAAGTCTACCAAGTATACAAACCACACTTAGGGGAGGCCCCATGCCCATCAGTAGATAGGCAAAGCAAAACGAATGGTATTTTTGGAGATTTATTTTTTATCTCATGCTTTGTTTAGGCACCTTTTTAACCTTTCTTGTCTTTTGCTTAACCATTATGGTTTCTGATTTTGTGTTTTTACAGGTTTTGTGTATGTGGGTATGTATGTCTCTGCATGTGTGTGGGGTATGTATGTTTCTGCATGTGTGTGTGGGTTATGTATGTTTCTGCATGTGTATGTGGTATGTATGTCTCTGCATGTGTGTGCAGTATGTAGGTCTCTGCATGTGTGTGTGGGTATGTATGTCTCTGCATGTGTATGTGGGTATGTATGTTTCTGCATGCGTATGGGGTATGTATGTCTCTGCATTTGTGTGCAGTATGTATGTCTCTCCATGTGTGTGTGGGTATGTATGTCTCTGCATGTGTGTGCGGTATGTATGTCTCTGCATGTGTGTGCGGTATGTATGTCTCTGCATGTGTGTGGGGTATGTATGTCTCTGCATGTGTATGTGGGTATGTAGGTCTCACATGTGTATGTGCTTTCTGTGGTTTTCTTTTTATTTCCTGTGGTTTTCTGTTTCCTTTGTTTTATTCTGTTTTTGTATTGACCCATTTGTTTTCTAAAAAGAGAAAGAAGATGTGGAGTTGGATGGGTAGGGAGGTAGGGAAGATCTGTGAGAAAAGCTGGAGAGGAAACAGTTATCAGAATATACTGTAGGATACCAAAATTTTATTTTCAATAAAAATATTTTTAATAAAAAAGAAGTTCCAAAAATAAGTTAAAAATAAAAACAAGGGTTCTGCAGCCCTGCTCGGGGACATCTGACACCAGGGGTCTGCTCACCAGATCCGAACTCGGTGGCGGGATCCAGCACACCTAGACACTGCTGAGGCCCCGGTCACAGTGCCACCTCCATCCACAAGAAGAGGACTGACATCAGAGTATTGGAACTGTTTGCATGTATCAGAAGGGAACCCTTGTCCCATACCCACCAGGAGAGGAAGAGACTCCTGCTACACCCACCAGAAGAAAGGACAAGAAGAGGACAAGGTAAAAACACATCCAACAACAGAAAACTCAATATGGCACCACTGGAGACTAGGAACTATTCACCAGCAAGACCTGAACATCACAGTGCAGATGAAGCAGAAGAGAATGATCTTAAAAAACATCTCCATGAAAATGATAGAGGACATGAGAAAATTCCATAAAGAAATGGAAGAAAAAACAAACCAAAAAATACAAGATATCAACAAATCTCTCAAGGAAACACTTCAAGACCTAAAAACTGAAATAGAGACAATAAAGAAAGCACAATCTGAGGGAATGCTGGAAATAGAAAAGCTGGGTAAATGATCAGAAACTACAGATGCAAGCATAACCAACAGAATACAAGAGATGGAAGAGAGAATCTCAGGAGCTGAAGATACACTAGTATATTGCATGACTGCAAGAGACCATCCATAGATCATACGGTCAAGATATCTTTATTGAGATAAATACAAGCCAAAAGCAAGCCAGAGCATGCCAAGAGCAGCTGAGGAGCAAGGCCAGGGAGAAGGGGCTTCCATGTGCTCTGCAGCCCCTTAAGAGCCCATGCCGCATCATC